GCAGGGGGGGCAGTTTGCAGGAGGTATAGGGGGCAGTTTTCAGGGTGCAGGGGGGCAGTTTGCAGCCACACTCCCCACACACAGCATGTCCGGGGAGGGGACAGGACCCACAGCTCCCATGTGCACCCCATGCTGGTGCAACACCCAGGGCCATGCTGCCCACCCCAGTTGCACCACTGGCTCCACTCCCAGCCCTTAAGAAGCAAGGACACAGACAGGACAGGGGCAAGACAGCAGGATCCGGCCCTGCAGGTTTATTGAACCCAGGGAGTGAAGCTCCCATGGCACAAGGGGCTGGGGCGGCTTCACTCGTCCCCGTTTTTTGATGGACATGCAGTTGTACACGGCGTACCGCAGCAGCTCCTCACACACCTTGGCCCTGGCAGGGGGGACACTGGGTGGCATCAAGAGTCCCATGCTACCCTCTCCCCACCCTCCCAAATGTCCCTGGCTGCCTGGGAGGGGACCCCCAATGCCAACCCCAGAGAGGGAGGAAGAGCCCCTGTCCCCTGTCCCCAGCTCAACTCACGAGGAATAGTTGGGCAAATAGAAGGTGCAGGAGCACGTGGAGGACTGTGGCATCAGGTCTAACGCATCCAAGCTTGGGAGAAAGGATTGAGAGTCAGACCCTGGCACCGCACAGGGACCCCAGCCCCACGCAGGGACCCCAGCCCATGCAGGAAGGACTCACTTTGACCTTTCTGGGTAGACAGTGATCTGGACCGGGAGGCGGCTCCGGCCAGTGACGAACTTAAGGAAGCGGCTGAGATCCTCTGGGGAAAAGGACAGGACTCAGGGCACGGGGACAGGGCCATCCCAGTCACTGCAGTCACGGCAGGAGATCCCGGGAGCGCAGGAGCATCCCCGGGGCGCAGTGCACTGGGTACCCAGTCCCCTGGCCCACCCTGTGCACATGAAGAGCAGGGGGAGGCTGGGGGTTGCTCACCGCTGGTGAAGTTGTTGAGCGCCTCCAAGAAGTTCTGGACGCGGGAGTCGTTGGCGGGAAAGTCCTCAAATGTGACTGCGACAACGAACACGCAACGGCTTTGTAAGGAGCTCCCAGAAAAGCAAATTGGCAGGGGACACGTCCATCCTGCCCTTCCCTGAGAGCCCAGACTGCAGACAGGAGAGGAGGAAACCCCTCTGCTCTCAGCGAGCGCCTGGCAGCCCTGAGTGATGCTGGTGCGTGGTACAAAGGCAGGTGGAGAAACGGGGGTTCCAGTTTGCAGGGGGGCTGTTTGCCTTTACCCACAGCAGCCAAGGAGCAGAGGGACCAGAGCGGGGACTGGTGGGGTCTGCAGCTACACCTGGAGCATCCCTACCCTGGGTCCCTCTGGGTCATCCTTCCCCAGGCACCCCACAACCAGGGACGGAGCACAGGGCAGAATGGACTCAAAAGGGGAGTCCAACCCACACAGGGGGGCCAGGAGCAGCTTTTGGGGCTGGCTCTGCCACTTACTGAACCTGCGCAGCTCGGCCATCGTGATCTCGGGGTCCCCGCAGATCTTCTTCTCCAGCTGCTGCCAGGTCAGCAGCTCCAGCACGGGCTGGGGCACCACGCTGAGCAGCCCGGCACGCATGGCTGCGATCTGGAGGGGACACAGCAAGAGCCTCATGTCACCGTTCTGGGTCTGAGCCTAGGGCAGCCGCCCAGGCCATGGGGGTGTCCACAAGGGGACATCCTGGGCACATAGGAACCACCCAGCTGGTTTTGGGGACGCATTTTTGCAGCCACCAACCCCGCAGGTACCAGGAGGGCTCCCCGCAGCAGCAGAGGCCCCATGGATGGCGTTACCTGCTCCTTGCTCTCCTCCAGCCGAGCCTTCTGCGCCAGGCGGATGAACTCCTTGCGGTCCTCGTAGCGCACCACGGTGCTGCTGCCGTTGGGGATCAACTCCACCACGCGCTGGTCGCTCAGCACCGTCGTGTACGTCAGCTCTCTGCCGAACATGAACTCGAAGGCCTCCCTGTCCACCCCCTCCAGCACCTCCAGCTGCTTCACCTGCAACCCCAAGCGGCCAAAGCCATCACGGCGGAGCTGGGGCAGCCACAGGAGCACACAGCATTGCCGTGGCAAACCCCAGCCCCCCTCAC